GCAATCGGGTCAAGTCGCGCCACTCAGAAAGAGTACTTCGTGGCCAAATTTGACCAGAACCCCGCTACCTATGTCAGACCGGCTTTGTGATCTGATCTGCAAGTGGAAAATATGGGTGTGGTGTTTTCAGCTGCGCGGTTCTTTGGACCTCAATGTGTGTGTATGTGTACTGCACGAGAAACGCGCATGACAAGATTTTCGCATATATCGTTAAAGGGATGAAAACGAAGTGAAAAAAACTCACATCTTTCATGAGCGAGAGAAACGCAATCAGATCCGGATTGGCGGACAGCAACGGATGTCGAGCCACGCGACTGAGGAAAGTCTGCAAACCTTGTTGTCGTGCGAGTAGGAACGGATCGGCAAACCGATCGAGTGTGGTGATGGCCATTTTACCCGGAAGGGGCTATTGTGTTCACATGGGACAATGGAGATGGACAATCAAGGAAGATAGGTATATTAATGTCATGGATTAGTGTGTGTGTGGGAGAGAGAGAGAGAGACAAAAGCGGGTTGAAGGACAGAAAAATACAAACGGTATCCATAGCGAGGCGGGCTGAAAACGATCAGTATGGGTCACGTGGATTGGTTTCGAGTGAACATTTATTCCATGCTATTTCCATCTTCTAATTGCGAAACGGAGATCGATAGTGACAGCTTACACACTGTGTGATTGTTATTTCCGATACATTCCGACTGCGAAAAACTGACTGAATCACAATGATAGGATCGGAAAGTTATGGTCAGTTTTATTAGTTTTGTTCGGCAAGGATTTATGATTTGATTTGAGTCATGGTTACTATTCATGAGCACTGCTGTGGGGTAATAAGTATCGCTCGATATTCATTTGGACTGACCATTCTGAGGATTCAATCTTTACACCCAATTATCAGTTCATTCGGTCAACTCAGGGAAGCCCCGGGGTCGTGTTTCGCGCTCAGCGGTGCGTGTTCATCGAGTCATTCAAGGTTTGAGACCCTTCACATGTACCTCAGAACTAAGCCACCTAGCTAACACGAACGATACGGGACAGTAGGTTTGTATAAACACGGGTGGAAAACAAAATCAGTTTTAGTTTCTACAACCATTAACCATGCATTATAGTGCGCCGGTTTCGATTGCTATCTTTTGGCTGCCCATTTGAATAAACATTAGGAGAAAGACAGGAAAGAGTGCAAGTAGGATCAAAGAGAAAATTGAGAATTTCAGTGGATTAATGTTGCAAGGAAATAGAGAAGATGCACGAATACCACTGTTTACGGCACTCAGCCATAACATTCAGCGTCTCTAACCATCGGGTACGGCCACCCCAAGGTCCCCATCCAGGGAGCCTAACGGGACCTATGTGATCTAAACTCCTGGTTAGGGTTTTCATACCCTCATGCCAGGTTTTAGCTTGACCACCCTTGGCTTTATTCCACCCACTACCTGCCTCGGCAAATATCGCTCGCCGTGGTACCCTATCTGGTGACATGCGTAACACATGCTCCAACCGACGTAATCTATGAAGGTCGACTAATTCCTCCAGTGGACGACCGTGACTACCAAAATCTCTGCATTGTTCGTCCGGCTGCCCCACCAGATTCGTGCAATGCTACGTAGACAGCGGTGTTCGAACACCAACAGTCAATCTTTGTCTCGTTTCCTTAATGGTCAAGTTTCTGCTCCATATAGCAGAACTGGCCGAACTGCTGCAGCA